TTCATTTCTTTTGCGAGAAAATCCCCCTGAACAAGTACGAATGTGAGTCTGATAAATTTAATTCCGAGATTCGTTCCTTTTTTTCTAATGGCAATAGGCATTTTTCCCACCGTCATCAACCCGTATGAAATTAAAAGAAGTAACACAAAATCCTCCCTCGCCAACACTTTTTCCTCGGCATGCGTGTACCAAGGCAGCAGCAGGAGCTAAATCAACCCCCTCCCGCGACCACGATATTTTAATGACATTGACACGCGACTAGATGTATTGCCATTGCACTTCCAGAGTCGGGTGCATCTGCATTCTAATTTTCAATTCTTATTAAGAGCACAAACTTTGAATGCGAGAGGACTAACCACAATCTTCTTTTCCATTCCAACAATTATTATTCTGCACCGCATAAATTACTTCTTCTCCCTCCGCATGTTCTCACAAACCCGACAACATCGTCGTCGTCGTCCAACCCTACTCATCTCCTTCCTGCTCCATTGTCATTCGTGTATAATTAGGAAGAGGCAGCAGCAATATTGCTCTGTGTACAAGAGTTGCTACAGAAGTATGTACATATGATGCTACTGTGCAGTGTACAAACGAACAAAGAAAACTTTCCATTTAATGATAAAAACGATGATGAGTAGGAGAAGGGTTTGTCTTGTGAAAACTTTTCCTGTTTTTACATCTATGGGTATTTTCTCGTTATCTCTCTTGTTATTAAAAAAGAGTAGAAGAGCTCTCATTTTGCAGCTCTTCATGCACCAAGGAAAAAATCTTAAATTATTGTCTTTATGGAATTTCTCACGATGATGTTTGTAATTGTTGACTCGTGCCATAATAAGTTTGAAACGAGCTTGTACAAAATATTACTGAATATATGGAATGGACATTAGAAATGCTGATTTCTCCCGTGTCTCAACTAGCACTTTATGTATTTAGAATATTTGGATTCCGCTATATATTCCTAAGCATTAAAACAAGAAAATTTCAACTCGTGAGTTGTGTCTCACATATTTAAAACGCATCAACTTTCTCCGGCCCTATTGACAAAATGATAAAAATGTTCAATACACTTAAGAATTCTTACTTGCTCGGAATATTTAATTAAGCTTGTTAAGCTTAAACAGCAATCAAGTAAGCCCACTTAGAAAGAGATAGATTGCATAATTGATTGTTCTCGCACATATGTAGTTAGTACATCTTTAGTCTGAAGTACTTACAAAATTTTTGTAGAATTACATTTCATTTTTAATCGCAACAAAAATGCGGATCAGTAGGTGAGTACTTGTGCTGCATAAGTAGGTAGATGCACTCATTGCAGACTAGTGCAGACTAAAAATAAATAATAAACAAAAACCAATGTAATCCTTGTTCTGTCAGCACATCAGAATTTACCAAGTGCTTTCCCTTCAAAAATCTTTCTATTTTTTGGACAGACAATGACAATGCCATGAATTATCCATGTTCTCCGAAACAACTGCACCCGGAACATGGAAAAGTTGGAGTGAAAGATGAACTGCAGAGATAAAGGAATGTATGTATGTACATAAATATAACAACCAACGACACAGCTACGCACATAGAAACATTCAACCTCTGTCTTACATCGAAAATCTACCAAAATACCAACCCGCATATTGCCAGGATATGTTTTTTCATTGTTAAAATATAAGCTGAACATCATCCAGGAGCAAGTGATGAGGGCTTGGTGCGGAAGTAAATAAGATGCGAAGGTAATTTAATATTTTAGTTTGGTTAGAGTTACCGGATCATGTTTCCTCTGTTCTATTTTTCTGGGCAGACGGTCATTAACCTTAGTGGGTTGTCTATGATAAAAGGCTCATAAAAATATTGAGATTGAGAGCCAGCACTCCAAATTAATGCAATTTATCAAAATCAGAGAAAGTTCCAACATCCGCAATAATAATGGAATAAGTAATGTACATAAATGTGAAGCGAGTCTTTAAGCAAGTATAAAGATAAATATCTTATCTTTATCCGCTACCCCGCCCGATCCAAGACTGCAGAACTCGTACGTACGTAGGAGTTCTGCTACCGACGCTTCCTTCGTCTCAACCAGGCAACTACTACAACAAAATAATACATCACTACATCCGCAGTGTTGTTGGAAAGAACAACAGGACAATGCACAACATCAACAGAGCATCATGTAAACTCTCTCCCTCGCAACTAATCCCTTGAGTCGTCTCGACGAGATGGAGAGAAGAATGTGCAGAATCTCCACCGTGTCTCGAATACTTTGGCACAAGATAAACGAAATGGAAATGAAAATAGCCAAGTTTTTGCTCACAGGCGTCATTTCATCCTGTTGAGATGAAAGTGTGTCATCACAATATTTCAATATCATCATTTACTTTTATAATATATTTTATAAAAGTAAAGTAGAATCTACGACAAGTCCAAGTGAAACGGAACTGTCATCTCCCTGTTTCTCAGTGTCAAATCTCAGCCCACTTTCTCCGCCGCCACCACCACGACTCCTCGCTCGAGGACTATATATCAAACGAAACCAAGGGTGGAACAAACGACGACGACAAAGATGAACGCTCAACAAATCCATCCACGACACAATAGAAAGAGAAGAACCTTCGCAAGACGGAGAGAAAACATTGAATGCCTTTCCATCTGAATATTGTCGTCCAAATAAGCAAGTCAGCCAGACCAACCAACATAGACCCAACCCATTCAAAACTTTTATTACTTTGTGCTAGGGCTGACCTTCGGGATTGTGGAGAAAATCCGCATAAAAATTCCTCAGGCTTTTATAAAATACATATCTCAAAACTGACGGGGAAAAGTTTTATTAAGACTGAAGTGAAGAATGTTTAATTAGTTTAGTTTTTCCAGCTTTCACAATTTTCGAATTCTATTTTGTTGGTCTTTGAAGTATTTTGAAGATGAAACCCTATATGTACATTTCCTTTCATGGGGTTTTGCAATTCACAGACAAAAACAAAGGCATAAAATATCAACGAAAGGCGAGACAACGATTAGATCCAGATCATTCAACCATTCCCAGAAATCTGAGCCGAACAACAATACCGCAATGTCATTCGAAATGTGACATAGCTCGAAGCGCAAAATGATGAGATTGACAAGGAAATCAAACAAACAACAAACTGAGAACTCCCAACTTTCTCTTTTGGTACGCTGGTCATGCAGCCAACTTCCAGCAAAGAAGAGTCATACGCAACATAAACATATACTACGAGGTGTCCTGAAGGGTGATTCTTGCGTCAAGTAAGATGGAAATAACAATAAGTAAGCAGTAGCCTCCGAATCGGATGTGTTCTTACCAGGAACAATAACTTCCTTTTCGCAGAATTCGTTGCTCCAAGTGTTTTGAAATTTGTTGACATTTCTTTATAAATCTAAAATCACAGCAGGCAGCAGTTGATGGACTCGAAATATCAAAAGTAGACAAGAATTTATAGAATTGAGAGCTTCTGTTACTTTTAAAATATTTAAGTAGACATCAAATTGACATTGAATTGTCTTCAGCAACAACAATTTTGGTTATTTTGCTTTTCAATGCAAGTAAATAATTTGTCTTCTCATGCAAAAGAAGGCTTCTGTAACTCAACAGATTGACAATAACTGATTACTTACGTAAATCCTTTACTAATCCATACATATTTCACTGATCGATTCGCATATCGCGTTTCCTTCGAATTCGTCACGCATTTTCCCACAGATGAAATCGAACGTCGGTACTAAGACAGAAGGCTATTCATTTAGTGTCAATATGAGCATTCTCGCCAGATTTCTATAACACAATTTTTGGGATTATTTTGCTTTTCCTGTACAATGAAAAAACACTCCAGCTTGGGAATGAACGAAAGAAAGGATTTAATGAAAAGGCATCTCATCTCCAAATATTGACGCGCATAGCACGTGTCATAATGTATGCATGAGTAATGTGTTTGACATGAAGAGACACACTAGATTTCGGTGCTGAGCGGAGAAGTAAAGTGGCGAATGGATGACAACTTTAAGTTGATGTTCTTGATGTTCTTTTCTTTTGTGATGCACTTATGTAAAGTCATTCTTGGAGAGTGGAAACTCAGCATTGTTAGTTTACCCAACAGCCGCAGATAGACTACTTATCTTAAGTATGTAGTTTATAGTAATACTATTGGTAAATGATGTAAACACATAAATGACAATACAAGCTGAAGAAGTGCCAAAATATTTATCAGTTGGAACGCAAAAATATTTAGTACAATATTTGTAGTTAGCATCGCAGTATAGGTTTCATATCATTCCATGAAATATGAATATGTAGATGATATGCAGTTTGAGTTCTGAATCCACATCAATAAATCAGAAACTTGCATAAGGAGGCGTAAGTACAACGCATGGGTGTATGAAAGACCAACAACAAATTGGATATCCAATCCAATTGTGTATCCATATTGTGCAACTCTGGTTTCATAATACACTGAACAATACAATGAACGAAGAAAGTAAAGCATAAATCTCCCGTTCTTGGTTGGTTGGTACTGTGCTCTGGCTTGAATATAGAATTCAATTTACCTTCTTACCCGAAGTGGTGCTAGTGTGTCGTTGTGATCGTCTGTCTGTCTTTCGATAACACAATAACGATGAATTTTGTAGAAACATGTACATCAAAAATACAAATACATATATTTCAAAGTTGGAATTCATGACGAGTGAGACGGGTCCTATCTGCCATAAACAGAAACTTGAGATGGTGATTGCCAAGACTTCTATGTGTCGAAGTAAAGCCAAATTAGAAACATTTTCAGCTTGTGGTATATTGATAAGTGTGAGCTATACCAATTTTTTAAAGTGGTTAAATTGAGCTGAAAATTTTGATAATTAGCAAATATGAAGAAATAACAAAATGCTAATTTAGGCTTGAAAATTTGCTGTCAAATAATTTGAAATTTTTTACAAATTTTCACGAGTATTTTAACCACAAAATAGTATTCATGCACTCGAGGAGTGCAGTAAACCATAAATGACAAATATTATGTAGTATAAAACAACCAAATCCTGGTTCGGGCTACACATATTTAGCTGTAACAGTAGGTTTTTCTTATTTTTTCGATCTTGAGCTCCGGAGAAAATAATATGCACTTGAAACAAATGGATATTGGAATGAATAAGCTGCTTCGAGAATGGGAATGTAGGTAGAAGGTAAGGCGGTGGCACAATTCCATTCTTTAAACTTTCTCATCTCCTTAATTTTTAATATCCATGAAAGTAGGATAGCAAACCCTAAATGGAACCCAGTAGAAGTTAAACTGTTCCTTAGAATAAGAAGAAGAAGAAGCGGCTGAACTTTCATATGCATGATGCAAGATGTTAAATAAACAAAAGCAGCTTTTGCATTTGTACTCGTCCCCTTGCCACATAGTTGACTGGCTAGAAAGTATAGAAAGCAATACTGGTATCCAATTTCATAACAAATTCATATCAAATATCGCACACCCTACTTTCTGAGAACCCTTTTCCATACTCCTTCCAGTTCTTTTAGAATTCCAGTCCAAATAACAATATTATTGTCAACTGTCGCTCCTTCTGGTTCCATCACTCAGTTTTTTAATAAGACAGACAGACATACGAGCTCGCCTGAATTTATTTGCCATGTTTTAATTTTTTTCCAGAGATTGGATCAAGAGTGTAGTATATCTTGAGAATACTTGAGAGCTGCTGTGTCTAAATCTTCTCACATGCACTTCATTGCCAGATAAAGAGTAAGCAGATAATCTGTTTCCCGAAATTGCGTCACTGTATAGTTGAGAATTAAAATTAGAAAGAAGAAGACAAAAGATAAAAAGCTTTTCCTATCATTCCATCCAAATCCGATTAAGTCCCAGTCAACAATTCGGTATGGAATTAGCCTCACGAATTTAAATACAATAATGGACTCGAGTGCAATTCACTCCTCTTCTCCACACTGCTTAAGAGTGAAGAAAGATGAACTTTTTGTCTGCTACCCTTGAACAGGGACTCGGAAAATCTCCTTCCTCCAAGCCAACTACAGGATAGGATCCACGAAATTGCCAAATTTACATTGGAGGGGAGTGAATGATATCAAAGAAAGAAAATGAATGGATCGACTTGACTCGAGCGAGTAATAGATTACATTGCGTATTATTGCTAGTGCACCAGTGGCAGCAACTTAATCCGGAACTCGAATAAATTACGGACATGAATTAGTTCAGATTTACAGAGGAGATTCAAAAAAACGAAAAAAAGTTAGTCTTTCATGTTGCTTATTCTCTCGTAGAATTAATCGTCGTCACCAATGAAATAAAAAAAAACGACGACGACGGAACTGGAAGTGGATCGGATCCACTCAATTCGTCGCTATATGCACTGTATGTACATGGATACTGCTATTGGCTGGTGAGTTGGTTAGTTTGAATGAAATGGATTTAGTTCTGGATAGAGTGTGCCAAATTAAATGGATTTTATTTTACTTCTTTGTCGACACAGAGCTTGGCTGGAGAGACGGAAGTGGATAATGTCAACCTTTACACATTCCTCTTCCTCCTCCATGGTCTCTGCTTTAATTTAATGACTGTTGCACAGTTTAGAACAACCAATAGATTCGGATACACTTTGTTGGCAATCACGTACATTTCAGTGTCAGAGACTTGGCCATTTAAATTTGCTATAAATACTGAATACTTTGTGGATTTATTTAGCAGCACCCAATGAGTCATGAAAGTATTAAAAGCGATAAATAATTCTGCATGCTTTACAAAACTATTTCCTACCTACTTTATTGTTGTTGGTATTTCCTAGTTGTAAGTGATTGGTCGCATCATAGATCTTTATACATATTGCACATCACGGGTCACATCAACTAGTGATTGATGATTATTCATACATTTTTCTACTATAAATTCTCGTATTTAAAATTAGGACCAATAAATTCCGTTACCTTTTTCGGTACAAGCTATAGCCTCTGCACTTTTTACAGTTAATTTCTCTTGTGGAATACGATCTTTTCAGCGACAAACACTTAAAATACTTAATATTTTACGTGTGTAGATACACATGACTGCAGTAGCCCATACCCAATCACCCAAATGTATTTAGATGCTCACGAGTAGATTGTCAAAATCGTTAGCTTATTTTTCGGGAAATCGATATAACAAGTTTAACACCATACATTTCAACAAATTGACTGCAGCACAGTGACAATTATTTAAGCGTTTGAATAATTTGATTCTGCCAAATGCGAATGAGTGCGCAGCGCAAACAAAGCGTTCAATTTTTCTGACAACAGTGATGATAGTAGTGATATTGGCTCTTCAGTTGACCAATTTGTACAATTCACCAGCAATATCGCCTCTAATAGTTATTTATTCGGGCCAACGAATAAATGCCAACAGCTTTCAAAATCAAATCCGAATTAAAGCTCTCTTCGGTCGTATTTGATTAAGCATATAGATGTTTTGCGATAGACTTAGCAAGGTAGATATTATGATGTAAAAAATAAAATGAATGAACAAGGTGGTGTTTTAGAAAAGGAATGCTGTCAGAAAGAACACGATAAGTGCATGGGTAAAAGGAAAGGTAAAAGTTTTATGAGAATCCTCCTTGTAAAATTCTAAAGAAATATCGGCGAGTGTACTTAATACACATAAAAGTTGTCTTTTATTCAAAGAAAATGGGACAACCCGTCTCTAAATCAATTTATGGGCGACGCTAATGGGTCGTCTTGATGGAGGTTAACTTTCTCTCGCCGCCGTCCCGTAATAATGGTGCCCTTCTGCATCCAACTACCACACATGGAGGCAGGGACTTTGGGAAAGGAGCAGTAGACGAGGAGGAGAAAGAACACACACGACATAATATGGAAGGTCACCCAACCACACACTTGGAGCCCCCAAGAAATTGCTCAGCACCAAAGTACGTAAATAGAATGCAGCAGTGGATGTAATGTGTGGTACATAGTTTCAAAGAGAGTTTAATACTTTCTCCATTATCGTCATCATCATTACCGCTACTTCACCTCCCCGATACCACCACCACCACCGCTTGCTGTGATGCGAGACGACCTCATGCCAACTTTCTAAGCTACACCTCGATCTGCCAACCATCGAGATAACAGAGATAAAAGCACACAAGAGCACACGACAGAATAATATCTTGTAGAATACTTTTCCAAGTATGATGATTTCTCACATACGACATATAAGCAACCTCTAATCACATATTCTTTTATAATCGCAAAAAATACCTTCTTGCCTGTTATCAAAGTAGATCTAAGTAAGAAATTCAAAAAGAGTTTTAAAAATATTTTTAGAAAGTGAAAACTGATTTATCCAACTTTCTCCTCAAATTAATCACGTCTGGTTGTCGTACAATCACTTAACATCCGGTCCATGGTCCTAAGGTCAGGAGACCCTCATTCAATCAAAGGTAGACTCAACCTTAGGGATAAATACTGGTCTGCTGTGTAATGTTTCCTCCTTGTGTGCTACGACATGCAATATTGGAAGTAGAGCTAGCGAATGAGCAGCATTAATTCCACTTTATTGTTGCATGCATGCAGAAAATGAAAACAAGTCCACTTACAACACAACAACCACAGCCAGCTAACCAACTTTTCCTAATCTGAGAAAGGCAAATTGAAATTGCAATCAAGCCAATAGGCCACCATTGCAGAATTATATGGGCAACGTTATGTAGTAATGACGCAGCTTAACACGACGACGGCAGCTGTGTGCCGAGGAGAATTGGAGAATAAGAAAAGTGGAGAAATCAGAAGATTGCAAGATTGGAAAGTGTGCTTAAGTAGCCCTGATTCCAGCAATAAGAATCCTTTCTTCCACGGTAATAAATCAAATTGTTCGTGTCCTCCCTCTGAACGCTGAATTCCGAATACCAAAAATAAAACATAACGGAGAAAGCATGAATTTCCTCCGAACTCTGTATAGGTAAGCAGAGGAGATATGCACAATCATTCAGATCGTCGAGCCCTAGTTAATAGTAGTAGGGCTTATTTTTATATGACAAAAAACTAAACTTCATTACACGTTGGATTCCTCGCTGCAAAAAAAACACACGAAACCATGCAACTTTCTCTTTGCATTGTACTTATATCTTATCTCTGCGTGTAATGGTTATGCTCAAATACTTTTTTAAGAAAATTAAGGAAAACAGATGTTTGTTCTACTTGTATAATAAATTAAAATGCGATTAGTAAAACATATGTTTCATGGTTAGGATTTGTTGGTAAGACGAGCAAGTATAACATCCGATTAAAGAATAATCAAATATCGATTAATCGATTACAGGAAAGGTTGAGCTATTTTTGTAAAATAGCACTGAAATATAAAAAGGGGTTTACTGTGTATGATTATATGATGCACTCTATTTACACACCAACAAGTATTGAAATTTGAAGTTTTTAGAACTTATTATTAGCGAATTGCTTTGTTTGCTTGTGCAAGTCACTTGCAGGAGGCTGTCAATCACACGCTTAAAATAAGTTCATGTGAAAATCCTAAATATGTTTTGAACATATATTCACACACACACGATATAACTTCGGATTAGTCCACATATGTAGAGCGTCAGAGCGATTAAGTATTTTTTTGAATTATTTTGTTTGTAAACGTACACGTATTCGACGTGCAATTGGTAATACTGGACGATAAGATTATGAAGACTATACTATTATAAAGCATACTAAAATTATAAAACAGTTTTGTCCAAACGAGATATTTTATAGAATAAATCCTTATGAAACTTATGTGTGTAAAATCGTGTTGAGACGAATGTACTACTGCGTCACGCTCGAGTTCCTGGCATACAGATCATAATTGACAGACAGCGATCGAAATAGCCCGTGTTTGTGTACAAATCCTTTGTGGACTTGAGTGTATACAATTGTACAAATATGCATAAATTCAATTCAAGAACAGAAGCAAGAGACTGACCTTTGTCCAATATCACTTTGGGTGGGACGTCGTCTTGCCACCCCCCAGCGGCAACCAACCCCAAGAAGGACTGTCCCCATACCAGAATGCAAGGAATGAGCACCAATGATGATGATGATGACCACTTCATATCCAGTCCTTCGCCTTGGCGTTTAATAGATGGAATGCAAAAACCGATAATCTCTCCAAGATATTTCCGTATCAATTCACGATCTTGTGGAACGATATGCCATCAAAGTTTTTGGTATCATATTTATGTTATTGTATATTGAGCACGTACTGCTGTACCATAAATTAAAATTCACCAAGGAATTGAATCAATAATTATGTCAATGATGAATGACTGTAAACTCAATAAACCACGATTTTGATGATTGACGGTTTTGTTTTAATTATTACTAGCTTCTCAAGTCACAAATTATGTGTTCACATTTATTTTTTATGGCTCCTTTAAATGCATTATATTGTAGGGAAATGCACACAATTCTTAAAAACTGTTGAAACTTGCATTGTAATATTTAATGTTGAATGTGTTGAAGTGAGTAATAAAGGCTTGTCGTTATGTTTTATCACGTTTATACTACAACATACTTTTTTCGTGATGTGCTGTCTAATGTCTTAATATTTAATTAAAGTATCTTAAACTTTGTTAGCAAGTTATGATAAATATAATTAAAATGCCTAAAATAATACAAACAAATCAAATTGAACAGTCACCAAAAACTATAATCTTTTCGGCAGTAATTCACGCCTTCTGAGTTTCACCCACCTAGAAAAATGGTACACTGTTCGTTCTCGTGGAACGCAAGTAATTTGTACAGTAACACAATTTTTTCGTAAAATCAACAAAAGTTTATCAAGAGTTGTCAGTTATTTTGTAAAATAAAACAGATAACTGTGTCCAGCGACCGTATACTTTTTATAATTGGAACTGGCATACAGAGAACCAATAAAACACAAAATACGATTAATTGTCTGATTGTGAAGATAACTGGCCTCGTGTTTATGTTTATGTGTTCAATTTGTATTTGGTATTTGCAACTCGCCCAGCAGCACGAGCAAGGTTTGTTGTGATTTTGTTACCCAATCCAGCTCAGCGTTGAGATTGAGAATGGTCTTGTGAGTCCTCGAGTCTGGGGTATCCCTTCTCTTGTCTCACTCTCCTCGGCGCAACGTTGCCACGTCTTTGGCCACGGCAAAAAAACATGTAACATCGGGACTCGAAATACCATAATTACTGTTTTATATTGTTCCATTTCCAAGCTTGAGAAGACGACGGAGCGTGAAAGTGAAAGTCTGGAGAAATCATCTGGAAAGAGGAGTGTATAGATAAAGATTAGAAGTAAATAAATCTGCATGATGATTCATTGATGAATGGTACATATTTGCACAACTTCCTTGTTAACGAACGAATTGACAAAACTGAAGGCTCTAAAATGAATGGTAACAATGTATTTTATCTGAATATTTAAATTTTTATTAAACTTGTGCACAACTTAACATGCTTTTACTTTGCATGACCTTTGACAAAAGACGCCTTTGTGACCAACCGTTTGATGATGCATTTCGCAGAGACGTAATCTTGAAACAACGCTTCAATGTGGGGGAAATACAAAGTCGACGTGGGGAAAGTGAGAAACTGTATTTCAAAATCACACAGTAATTGAGCACATTGAAACCTGAAAAGTCAAAACTCGATGACTCTGCTTGTAGAAAATTGAGGAGTATCCGGCTACTGCGATACTACTGCTAAAACTGCTAATCCTAATTCTTAATTAAATCCTATATGATCAATTATAAATTTATTAACCATGTACATTTTGTTGTCATCATTCTTATGAAAGATGCAATAATTTGGCATATCGTTTCGGTTTTCATGATAAATTAAGGTATAATATCATCTCATCCATTTCACGTAATGCTCTCGTCCTTCCAGCCGGCTAGAATGGGGCGGAGGGCTGAGGTGGCCAGCAAATCAGAAAAAGCCAGCGCAGGGTGATTGTACCACGATTTGACTGAGGACACGTCTCACAGAAAATCCTAATCCTGCTGTCAAGTCAACCAACCATCGCATATGCACACACATACTCGTGTCGTTGTCACTTGTTCCCTAGTCGCCGGTCATTTAGCTGCTCTACTGCTGAAAACCTGGTCGTTTCCAGAAAAATTCTGCTTTTGAGTACCTTTTGAGTACTTTTGAGTACCTCCATTAGCAAATATGAGACTGTCCCTTGCGCTAGCGGCCGTGGTCGCGTTATCCTTCGTTGCCGAAATTAGTGCCTCAGCCGAGGTGGACTTGGGGGATGCTGATTTCGATTCAAAGCTTGCGTCGATGGAGAATGTTCTCGTCATGTTCTATGCCCCATGGTAAGTGGTACACTTGAACTTGAGGGGGGGGGCAGCAGTTTAAATAATTCAAAAATATGTATTTTTTATCTTGTTCTGACCTATTAGGTGTGGACATTGCAAAAAACTTAAGCCAGAATTCGCACAGGCTGCTGAGATGATGAAAGATGACGATCCACCAGTTTTCCTAGCCAAGGTATGGTTTTGATTGATCATTAATGTGTCAATTGTGTGCTAGTTATATACAAGGAGTATTTATACTTGAATTCGCCCAGCTTATAGCAGATTTCTTGAAAATCCACTATATACAACATGACAATCATCGTCAGATTCCTTGCTACGCAGTATTCATTAGTTCGCAAATACTAGCATAATTGTGGAAGTTCATATAACTTACATGGAAGGAAATTTGTGTACAATAATACCTTCCGGTAGCAAGGTAGTGTACCAATGTACACATAAATTATAAAGAAAATATTATTTTACATTGAATCATTCAGTACATCTGCATTCAATTTGAATGCAGATGTACGAAATGGAAGGATTATAATACGGGTTTTTGTGTTGTATGTATGTAGTTCTGCGTTTCTTTGGTGTGCAAATAGGATGGTTTGGCGTGAATTCATGAAGACTTCATGATCATTCCTGAATATGAATATTTTTTACACATTGAGGGTATTCATTTTGACTTCGCATCGTTAGCAACGTTCGCAAAACAATAAAGTTCGCAAGTTCGCAAAAATTATTGGCTTGAAAATTGACTTGCGAACTTGCGCATCTCCAAGGCTAGTATTTAGTTCGCAAAATATTTTTCACAAATTTTGCAATAGGAAAACTCCATAAATCTCTATTGGTTACGGAAGTTTGGGGTTTGGAATTTTTGAAATTTCTTATTTGGTAAATTTCAGACGCAAAACTTCGGTAACTAATGGAAATTAACATTTTTCCCATTGCAAAATTCGAGACATTTGTATACCAAATTTTCGCAAATTTTTCGTGTTCACTTTGTTGCTTCGCAAAATTCGCAATTTCGAAAAAGTTATGTTGCGATGCGAACATGCGAAGTCCTAATGAATACCCTCAATGAGGGTTTGTTAGGCTAGTTATTCAGTATATAAAATTGAAATTTCAAATTATGTATGTCATGGAGCTTTTTGAAGAGTCTGCGCTGCATACTCTCATAATGCATATATTCACCCATATCAGTGAATCAAATTGAGCCATACCAGTCTGGAATAAAATTAGTAGGTATTAAAGCAAAATAAAGAAACAGAATAATGCATCCAAAATTTCCTTCACAAGTTATCAGGAAAATATTTCACAACTTTTCTTGTTCTTGTAACAAAAAGCTAAATGTATAATAAAATGTCTAAAAGTTGCATGCTTTTTATCGCGCAGGTTGATTGTACCGAAGCTGGAAAAGAAACTTGCAGCAAATTTTCAGTTTCAGGTTAGTATATTAAATACATCTATACATCTAATCTGTACATCTATATGTATATGTACTATTTAATATTAACTGTTGATATTTGTTTGTTTCAAGGATATCCTACCTTGAAAATCTTTAAGAATGGCGAGCTATCATCCGACTACAATGGACCTAGAGAAGCCAGTGAGCTCTAATAAAAACCTTTTTGAATGATGAACTATTTGGAATACTCACGTGGACAAATATTTAACATAATGTTGTGTGGTTTAGACGGAATTGTCAAATACATGCGCAGCCAAGTTGGTCCCGCATCGAAGGAATTGAAGTCTGCATCTGATTTTGAGAGCTTTATTGCAAAGGATGACGTCGCAATAATTGGTATATAATTTATAATATATTATAAATGATAAAAGTTTAATGTATTAAATATATAATAGCTTTCCTGGCCGAGAAGGACTCTAAATTGGAAAAGACATTCCAAAAAGTGTCGGACGTTCTGAGAGAAAAAGCTCGATTTGGTCACTCGAATAACGGAGCTGTAGTCAAGAAGGCTGCTCAAAAGGCTGACACTTTGGTTCTCTACCGCCCAAAACAACTTTCGAATAAGTTTGAGCCTGATACTTTGGTATACGATGGCGCTTTTGATAGTGCTGATATCCAGAAATGGGTAAAAGATAACTAGTAAGTTGAACTAACAGGTCAACATCTGCTATAATTTTGCATTTATGTTAATATTGTTCTATTTTAGTCATGGATTGGTTGGAGTCCGAACTCAAGACAGCTCAAAGGATTTTGTTCAACCTCTCGTCATCGCATACTAGTAAGTAGAGCACACAAGTTAATTGCATAGCAGTAGTATGTATATATTCAGGTCAGGCGACAAGCATTTTATAACGTTGAATATTTAATTTCGGTTTCTGGCATCTCCTTATCATCATCATAATTTCAAAAATATAATTAAAAATCTCGCAAAATCATGCGTTTACAGTCCTTCATATAAACTTTTATGTATATTCCAGCAATGTTGACTACAAGAAGAATGTCAAAGGTATGTAAAATTTAATAATATTTTTAAAATATTTTGATTTTGGTATTAAATTTGGTATTTAATTTGGTATTTAATTTTCAGGTACCAACTACTGGAGGTTCGTACACCGTACATTACTTTAATACTTGAAAGATACTTTTAAAATGTTTTGCCATTACTATTGATTTGGTGATTTTTTGTAGGAACCGAATTCTAAAGGTTGCACAAGCATACAAAGGAGAACTTGCGTTCGCTGTGAGCAACAAGGATGAATTCCAACATGAATTGAACGAATACGGTGTCGAATTCACTCCTTCAGACAAACCAATTGTCACTGCCAAGAACTCTAAGGGACAGAAATTCAAAATGGAAGACGAATTCTCGTAAGAACAGTTATGCATAAATGAATAATAATACTATGCAATCGATACGATATACGATATGATATTCCTTTTGTGATGGATAATTGTAATTCTTGTCATGTTTTTTTAGTATGGAAAACTTTGAATCATTCCTGAAGAAGATGGTTGCTGGAGAATTAGAACCGGTACGTATTAGACAGGTTTGAAGGTGATTGCGCGGTATTTACATGAACACGACTGCTAAACAGAAGTATGCACTCGGATTTTGTGCTGTGTTGTGACTCAGTATCTAGTCCAATAATTCAAGTCATTTCATTCATTAATTGTTTACAAGAAAAGTAGGATTCTGAACAATTGTAAAAATGGCAGGTCTTGAAAAATACAAAAGCTACGCAGATGAAGTGGTTAAGTCAAGAGAGGAAGCCAAGTTTAAAGAGAAGGCATTAGTGCAGCAACAATTGAATGAGAGGGGTGGACTTTGCGTACAAGCGTGTGGTAGCGTTCGTCATAGGAGTGATTGTCATCTTTGTTCTTACTGTGATACATGCGAAGGGGACAATGGACATAGTTTTTTATTCAGAGGGAGCATAATTCCAAATAGGAGAAATCCACATGATCCCTTCGTTTTTTCCGAAACGTGGAAATCGGAGGACACTTTAAAGTGCGACAGTTTCAAGGAGGGGTGTTATGCAATATTATGTGTTAAGCCAGGTTGTAAGTATACAGGAGTGGTGTATTTTGGAGAGAGTAAAGATATCCATTCAAGGTGCCGTGATCACAAAAAACATATCATCGGAGTTGACAACAAAAATGTGAAACGAATGCATCGTCATTTCATTGAACATGGTGACAGTTGCCCGTTGCAATACTTTCGATTCGTGCCTATAAAAGAGGTGAAGGGAGGTCCCACCGCAAGACAAGCATATGAGAATGAAATGATGGAACGATTCGGGACAAGAGGTTATTTTGGTTTCAACGACCGACAAGCAAGACTTGAAGAAAACAGCCCCCCTCCTCCACCAAAGGTGGCAAAAGTTGACAAAGAAGGTGATGAGATGTATGCTTGGAAGAAGCCATCGGCTCACGGAGGATCAGTATCGGCGTAAGTGTTTGATCCTATTCACACAATTAATTGTAATGCTGTTAAATATACTCAATACATATACCAATCTATTGCATTTTCAGTAAACCAGTGATGGAGCCAAGGGTCCTACTGTCACTCGCCCTCCTCAACCACCCAAATTCAACACCACCCCATTCTGCCACTACTGCGGAAATTACGAACTTTGCTAACGCTTATTTTAAGATGAATACCATCACTAAATCGATGTTTTCAGCCATGAGACAACGTGTAAATTCATCAAACAAAGAAGCTTGTCCCCCCATGGAGGTTGACTGGCTGGTCTGGATCAACCGACCACTTCAGCCTCTCCCATCTGGCCGGAAAAACACTTACACGTATGGAATAAAACCTGGATTCCAAGAGACGATTGACCAAGAGATAAAGACCGAATTTGATAGCGGCGAGTTGCATAAATTAGTAAAAGACGGAGTATCTGTAAAATTAATGATAAAAGGGCTTCTCCCTTTGGCACCAAAAACACGACTTTAAAGTACAATTCTTGCTTATATTTTGGGTGTAAACCACCTTCATTTTTATATTCGTTGAAAATTCTCTTTATTTGATTATTTTTATCATTTGTCTTGCAGTTCTTAAAATCTGAACCAATCCCAGACATGAATGAGGGAGGAGTAACTATTGCGGTTGGCAAGAACTTTGATGACGTTGTCTTCAACAGCGGCAAAGACGCTTTGATCGAGTTCTACGCTCCGTGGTAAGTGTTGTCGTATAAATATATGTACTGAAAAGCAGAAATATTAGAAATAATCTAACCCAGAATCTAATGTTTGAACCTCTGTTAATCCAGGTGTGGACATTGCAAAAAATTGACTCCCATTTATGATGAACTCGGAGAAAAGGTACAAATGAAGTTATATAGTATCTACGAGTATGATAAACTGCAAATATGGATGCCGAAATTAATTTATTGTTATTATTTTCTGAATATATAGCTGAAGGATGAAGATGTTGCCATTATAAAAATGGATGCTACCGCTAATGATGTTCCAGAGCTCTTTGAAGTCAGGGGCTTCCCCACACTATTTTGGTTGCCCAAGGGGAGCAAGAAGCCCGTAAAATATGAAAGTGGACGCGAATTGCAAGACTTTATCAAGTATATTGCTAAGGAGGCTACGGAAGAACTCAAGGGCTACGATAGATCTGGAAACCCAAAGGAGAGCAAAACTGAATTGTAATTCTCGCCGCATTCAAAGAAAATTTTGAAATATTACCATCCTTAAAGAAATCATACATCAGTAATATCTCGACTCAAACTATAATTCGCAAGACATTTCTATTTGAAGTACTGATAGGGATAATAATTAAAATGGGTATTTTCGTAGCAAAATTTATGAACCAGACCAGTGAAAAGTCAATTATTCAGTTCTACAACAAACAACAACAACATTCTTCATGTGATTCTATTTGTCCTACGTTACGTTGGGTTGGGGGTTAATGTTAATTATAATGATCAATATAATTTGGGATTTGAGTGCCACCCTGTTCTTATTGCTTACGTATATTTCTTCCATGAGTCTGAGTTATTAATAATTTCATAATAAAAAGTGAAAAACTAAACTTGTTAAAAATCGTTTTCATTCATAATAATTAATAATAATCGTCCATATGTGTATATCAATTGCATTATAGCAACGTCATACATACATGTATACGCGTAAAACAAATGTGAGAGGAATAGCTTCACTGAGATGAGTAAGCTGTATTTATTATTATTATTATTATTATTCTCATATACGTATATTTACAATTAATTGGACTGAATTATTGTGGAATGGATTTGCATGCTCAAGTACTCGCCAACTTTGATGGTTGTACCACGCTCGTCTTTCTGGTCGTGACATTTTCAGCCGTGGGTATTTCTGGTGCTACTGACAAAATTGGTGGCATCGGTCTGTTAACTTTGCCCTAAGAAAAGTATTTACAATACGCGTTACACACATGTAATTCGCAGGAAAAAGAGATGTACGACAAATATCTTAAAGATAAACAAGTAAATGTTGTTCAAACCTTTCCTGTTTGTTTGGCCATCTGATAATCCCCAGAGTCAAAGTACTTTTGACCCTTGGCTAACCTTTTCTGCAAGAAGGCAGAGTGTCCAGCCATGGGTTTGGCCGCTGCACCAGAAGTACAAACAAAAAGTGCATTTTTTTTACATTATGATGACTTTTAATAACAAAAACGTACAAATTTCGAATGATTTTTTGAATGTCAATAGTTTCAACAAAACTGTTGGATTACCTGCTGGGTATTTGATTTTTAACTTATCTTCCTCCTGCTTCTCAATATCCTGCAATAAAATATTTTCAGATAAGACGATGAAAAATAAAAATAAAATACTGCACGTATGCTGATAAGGACAATCACTTATGAGCAGAGATAACACTAGTTGATCATATAGAATCCATATCATTGATTCAATTTAATTATCTTTTTAAAATCTTGGAACTTTCTTACGTGAGGGTTGATTTCAGTCACTGCAGTTTCTTCTGCTTCTTCCTTTTTTTCTTCTCCGACGACAACGTCTTCACCTTCGGCTGACATTTTTGAAATTGATGATGATGAGGGTGCTTTAGATAAGTTGATTAATTTGGAAGGAGGAAGCAAACTAAAATGGGGGACACTTTTTAATTTCTCTTCTGGAGAGTAGACGAGTGAAGGTGATTTGAGTAGAGGAAACAAATCTGTTGTGAGAAGCGTACATAAACCAACGTCCAACGAATGGACCAGGGGCACCTTGAGCAACTGTGTATTTCTCTGCATTTGAACCTACCGAGTTTCGTTTCAACAACAATCGGAAGCAAATTTCAGTCTCGAATTTGCAAATATTTTCAGTGGATATGCATTTTTTAGCTACGTTATCTAATCTGCTTGTTAATCCACGGATGAGTATACTGTGAAGTGTAAAGTAGGAAATTGTAACCTTCCCTTCTAATAATTGAATTGAATTTATAAACATACAATAAAAGTGAAAACAGATATCGCTAAACATGGATGATGCAGATGCACCAGAAGAACTTTCCAGCAGGGGTGGGCAAGATACTTGGTCAAGATACAAGATAAAAGATACAAGATAGTATCTTTATCTTGTATCTTCGTCGCCTGATCAGAGAAGTATCTTGTATCTTCTATCTTCTATCTTTTAGAAAGTCGAAAGTATCTTGTGTAAGTATCTTATCTAGATATGCATGGCAGAAAAGTATCTTAAGATACTTTTGACAAGATACAAGATACTTTTTCTCAAAATTCCGTCAAATTACGTCAATTTCTTACTAAAGTCAGTCAATTTGACCATGAATTTGTCGTAACCAGAATTTGGTGAATTTTTAGTTTATGTTTTGCCAATTCGTAACAAACTTGTACATATATGCACATATATATATATATATGTACATGTGTACTCGTACATACATACTGATACATACGTTGCACATTACATCTACGCTGAACTAATGTATAGATCTTATAGGGTTTAGTTTGAATAAGCAGGGAATATTGTAAAAATAATACCAGCTTCTTAAGAATATACGTATGTTAGGTAGAGTTCTAGTTTTTCGAAATTTAGACCTTTTTCGATGTATAAGCACTGGCAACAAAATTTGTAAAATGATTCTAGAATGATTTTAAATTTTGTACTTACTAGATTTTTTCGGTTAAATGATTAAACATGACTAATTGGGCATGAATACCAAGCTAAAAAAGAAAGTATCTTATCTAGTATAAAAGTATCTTAAGATACATATCTTGTATCTTGTATCTTGACTACTCAATTTTTAGAAAAGTATCTTGTATCTTGTATCTTGTGTACTTAAACAAGATGTATCTTTTATCTTGTATCTTATATCTTGTCTTAGAGAGTATCTTATCTTGTATCTTGTATCTTACGACCAAAGTATCTTGCCCACCCCTGCTTTCCAGCTCAATTCCTGATGTCGAAATGGTACCAGCAATAAAAATTAGAATCCATGCATTCTCTTTCAAAAAATAAAATTGGATTATTTTCTTAGCATGAAATCGTGCCGGAGGAAATTATACTGCTTGATGATTCGAGCAACTCATGCGACAAACCTAGCTCAGGCCCGAATAGCGATGGCGAATCAAAATCCAATGTTTGTAAAAATGATCCTGAGGCTGAATTCATCCAAAGCATGGGAAGAGGCCCATCGTCTTCAAAGGTTCATGTCACAATGAATTATAGTTGTTTCTTTCAGTTAATATGGTCCCAATACATAATTATGCATATGCGGCTATTTCAGATAAAAGCGGGTACAGCTGAATATTTACAGTTTATGCAAGATTTTGACCCTCAAAAATCCAGTCGTAATCAACAAAAGAAAAAGTAATGTCGAAATAAAAATGATGACATTTAAGTAGTTATTTCTTATTGTAAAATTGATGTTTTTCAGGAAAAGATATCACCACAATGATGGCAGATTAGTACAGTATGCAGACGATTTTGATGATTGTGATTGTCTGAGACCTAATTGTGTAGGCTGTCATATGCCCTGCCCCTCGTGCAATGACACTAGGTGTGGAAGTGAGTGTAGGTACGTAAACGGTCATTTTAGATGATTTCTGACTGACAATGAGAGATGATCATTGGATGGGAGTGTACATGTGAATTTTTCAGGGTAAGCAGAAAATGGATATACGAGACTGTAGAAATTGAAGGAAGCAACGTAGAATTTCGAAATCCTCACAGCTCTTCCTTTACATAACTTCTCAGTTATTAGATAATGGTTTTCCTTATCATTGTACTAGCTGTTTTAGTCTGACCCAGGGATTGTACAACATTAGCTGAAATTTTAGAAAGTTAATGCCCGTAATTTAATGTCACGCGAAATGAACCACATTTAGCATGAGTTAATTTATCCAGGCGCAGAGCCAACGAATTGATAATAGTGATGTAAAATTTAGCGTCCCACTGTTTGTACATCATGTATATAATATATGGCGCATGATCGTCAAAGTATATATTTATTGACGACTCTTTAAATTTGAAACCGACACTGTTCAACCTTCTCAAAGACCTTTACGAAATACGTGTATTGATCACACTATCAAAAATTTGTTTTCAATATTTTGGGATTTTAGTAAATAAAATATTTGCATCAGCATTTCGATACTGTGTATTCAAATATTTGTTACTAGAAAATTCCAGTTACATTGTTATTTCTCGCAATTTTAAAGTTTTAATAAATTTGCATTGTCAAATTTTTTGACTCAAATGATCACAAAGATGAATAAAAATTTTACTTATTATTCCATTTAAACAGAATTTTTAAAAATCTGACTTTTGTAACTTACTCGACATTTCTTTCCGGAAATTAAGTATATGGTTTAAATGTTTTTAATGTTTTATGGTTATATATTTAATGTTTTATTCACCGTAATTTGTTAACAATATCATTTAAAATGCATGGAAGTTTTAAGTGTAATAAATTTCGTTAAACGTTTTTCGTGGTCGGAGGGAGTCGCTGGAGGAGAAAAGCTGTGGAGCGAGTGGTTCTTCAGTCGTGGTAGTGATCCGTTGTCCAATGTCTTTAGTAAAAGTTTATGGTTTAATTTACTGAAAATATTAATTTTATGGAAATACTAATAGAATGTAACTGAAGAGCTTTAACTAGTTAGACATCAGCCCTAAAAATGGGTTTATAAAAAAAAATTCAAAATATTTTTCGGTATTTATTAAAAACATAAAATAATCGAGGTTGATTGTAACCAATTGATAATAGTGTAATATAGATTAGCAACACGAAATAAATCCTTTATGCATATACTTTTGACAAACGTATTTATTAAAATTGTATTATAGGTTTAAAGGATAAAATATTGTGTGTACAAAATTAAAAAGTGCAATAATAATATTAACTTTGATATTTGCAACGTGCATACTTATACCAATAATGAACATATGTATGTATACTTGTATACAAGAAATAAAAATTAGTTTGTGTTTGATTAACTACATTCTGTGCATTTTATGTTCCTTTTATAAGTAGTTGCATGCATGATTCAAAATTGAGATTAAACTGACTCGTCTTGAAGGATCTAAACTAATCTAAAGTAAACATGTAACATTAAGTCAACGGTTGAAGGTTTAATAGTTCATTGCACATTGTTGAATATGCAGATGAATATCTATTCTATAGAACCTATGCACATACTACATACATATATTTTTCATTACACTTTCGCTTTTCACAATATCTACTTGAACATTTACTCCTAAATGTCAGTCTCATACCTTCTCAGGATTTAAATTACATACATATATAAATGTCGCATATAATATGAACACCCGTTGAAGATAAATTGAACCTTTATACATTTAAATCTGTAATTTGTCTACGTGTAAAACTATCAAGGTACGAGTTGGCTGAGAAAATTATTTATTATAGAATCAGTACAAGTAACATCATGCATTTGATACTGACATATACAAATATTTGTAGTGTCAAAATTTCTAAATTACTTGGGGTTCCTAAAAATCATACCTTTACATCCATAAAGTAACTAGAGTAAATATCCTTGAGGAAATGATTAGAATAGTCATAATCATGTAAAATCTGGTTTCATGTTGTTGTGTAATTGTGGTTTTTTTGTTTTTGTTTTCGTGTAATCCAGTATGAATCCAGTTAATACAAAGTGTTGTTAGAGAAAGTTGACATAGTTGTTGTCGAGGTTCCGCATTTTCCAAAATGGTTGGTATCGAGGGCAATGCCGCTGCTGCAGGAATCTTCCACCATGTCACACCAATTTCCATAAGTTTTTCCATTTGTTGCACAAATCGGACCTTTTATGCTCCCATCGCGTTTCGAAGCCCTGCACCACTTTGGTCGGGGTCCGCAAGTAACGCACCTTGGCTTATCGGCTCGATCCACCAAACATGATTGACCATCAGAGCACTTGACATTTGCACAACTCGCACGTTCTGTAATGATTAAAAATCAAACGGGACAAAAGGTTAATATATAAAATGGAATGGATTCTAAGTTGCATCAATAAATCTTCAGTAAATGGAAACAGTGTGTAGGATAGACAATAAAAAAACCGAACTTTAAATTTTTGTTGTCGAGTGACCATTTACTCAGTCTATGTATTTATTGTAGCCGATTAAAAATGCAATCAAAGAGTGAAAAGTCTTTCTGATGAGGTGCTTAAAGGTGTTATGGGTTATTTTATTATACTTTGGTAACGAGTGCAACAGTATTATCTCATGCATAATAACATGTACAGTTGAGGTATAATGTTAGTGCATAACATAAATAACAATCAAGACTGAAAATACGAGCTCAATAATGAGACAAAACTTGTCCTATTTGTTCTAATGGTTTCATCGTCCAATGAATAAATTCTTTAATTCATTGTGTATGCATGATGATATCTTAATCTCATCAAATTGAATTGAGTTAATTGAACTGCCTAATTTAATTAATTTAAATTTGGTAAATAGTAATTAAATAAATAATAATGGTACGAAAACTGGAACCAAATAAATGCATACCTATACGAATTCTAAACTATGTAATATTCATGCGAATGTACCTTAATAAGTTTAAACGCATTTTAAAATTTGACTATTTACACTAACTGCCCTTTCTTGGAATGTTAATGAAGCTAGTCACAAAGCTGATGTAGGACCACCCCCATGTATTATGACCATCTTGTTTTCACTGGCTATTTAGATAACTACTTTCGAAAAAAACTTACTTTTACAAGGGCCCTTGTAAGCAACTTGAATTGCTTTCCCCTTCTGACAAGCCGTTTGTCTCAGTTGGCACACGTTTGGGTATGTCACTCCGTTTACTCCTTTTTATTTTTATTATAAATATTCAGCCCATATTTATATTTATATTTATATTTTTTTTACCACAAACTGATTTTCCATTAGCCACTGGACAGTGACGGGTAGTACAATTCACACAGTGCGGGATTGAATTCTGATCCAGTAAGCACTGTTTTTTTCCAGGACATGTCAACTTGGAACATGTCACTGTGGGCACAAAAATTATATAGATGTATTTATTAGAAAATCAAAACATACTCTTGTTAAATATGCATATAATAAGTATAAGCATGCAACTTGAAGTATGTATGTATGTACTTCGACAAGATCCATAGTAGCTGATGGAAATCGCAACCCTTCTTCTACACGACCGCTTGAGAAGTCTGCAAGGTGTTTTGTATGTCCGGCCATCGGAACTATTAAATCACAATAACATGTTTAATTAAACAGTTCAACAACAAATTGTGGCCTTCAATTTTCATGAAACGTACCCACACACCGGTCCGCGAACTCGACCTTTTTTAGTTCCATTTTGCAACCTCAGCGAGCTACAATTTGGAGAACAAATGCACTTTGGAACTCCATTCCGGACTACACATTTTTGATTTTCCTGGCATTTGATCCCATCACACGAGTCTTTAACAAAAACATAAGTTCATTAATAAGTGAATTATTTTTCAGTCTGGTTGAACAAATAGTTTTATCTAACTGGTTTATGTAGAATTTCAAAATGTGCCATAGAATTGGTTCTCACCTTTGCACCGGGTGCATCCCACTCCGCCCTGGACATGCATGTAAAATAGGTAGCTGGGGGTCAGCTCGTCCTCATTCCAGGCCACGCTGGCCGTGGCGGCGAGGGGCCCAGAGTTGCAGCAGTCCTCCTTAGTCGATCCTGTTTTCACCAGTGCAGTACATCGCCCGTTCTTGTTGACGTTCAGCCAACAGTTCCCACCTGAAATATTTCAGGATATTTTATCAAATACATATGAACATGCTCTCTGGAAATCTGAACCAACAAGTAGGTAAATATTATGCTGTGCACTACAAGTTGCAATAAGTAGACGTCAATAAAACTACGTAGACCACGTCCCGTTTTTCCTCGAAGGTTCCGTGTCCCGATTAGCTCAATCATCTCAAGGAGGATATATTCGTGCGGTGATTTAATTGCATTTCAGAGAACATTGTTAATCAATCAATGAGACCACATGGAGAGGTTTCATTTATTTTATTATACATAAACATTTGTCAATTTCATCGAATTTGCCAAATTCTCGTTTGCTCGTTTCGTCACGAGTTCCTATTTAAGCATGCACACCAAACATTCTGTGGTTGGGAGTTCTTCTTCTTGTGATGGTGCTGGTAAAAATGGTACCGAACACAGTCAGACTGTTTCTCGAAAGCAAATTACGACAAACCCTCATCATCATTATTATCCATCCATCCATGCAGGTAATCTACATCTCAGGCAACCTTGCATTTTATTATTATTGTAGTATCCATCATCCATTCCATTGGGTAAATTATAATGAGATACACCTGCCTCACGTCTCCTGTACACATAAATACAATCACTTTGCTAGTCACAAAACAAACTCTGCACTATTAATTTTATCACTGCTGTCATTGTAATCGTTGGTATTGTAAGAAGAGCACACAATGATGTTTGCTCGAAGATACCTCACCTGTGCTAAAATTTTACTGCAGCAGTGCAATCTGCAGAAATGATGAGAAACCTTTGTTGCTACCTCAAATTCAATGCAAAAATTTTACCTCGTGAAAACTCAGGAGGGATTGAATATTTGCAACATAATATTTGCACCATAGTCACTATGTACTTTCGGAGGTTATTTATCACCAAGCTCTTTTTGACGACGACGACGTCAATTCATTATCACTCAAATCAAATGAACAAGCATCAGGACAGCTCCTAACCTCATGTTCAACCTACAAAAAGAGCTGCAACAATGAAATTGCAAAAAGGCCTCAAACTTCCAACTCCATTATATACATACATACATACACATACATATTCCATGAGTCTGTACGTATGATGCTACCTGAATTCTCTATGAATGTTCAGCGTCGCTGTTCGCAATTCAGCCCGTTCGTCATCATTCACTGTGAATGATGAGTGGGTGGTCCTAGATCGCACAAAGTATGTATATTCTGACTCCCCTTGCCGAGACCTTTCCAGTGATACCCCATTTATGGGGTACAGTGACCAAAAAGCCATGTTAGGTCAAAGTATTTGCAGGATCCGTATAGCGATTGAACTTGCGCTAGGCACGGTCGTGCGCTCATAGAAGCTCATATCTCAGTGCGCCATAAGGACATGAATGTGAACGGGTTGAATATTTCAAGACCAACGATGATGCAATAAGAACAGCGGCATTGAACCGGTATTTTGATAAAACTGAAAAACTCCAGATACAAGATAGAAAGTTCAACCCCAAGACTGGTCCTCATAATGCTGGAGGTCTTCAAATTAATCAGCCATTACTATTGTTACATTTTTTGACAACATGTAAATTTTTTGAAATTTTTGACAACAAATTGCTATCCAAAACACCTAATCGACAAAAGAATATCAAGAATGAAACTAAAATTTACAAATGACCAACACCAAATCCAAAATAATGACGCACCTCGCATCATTTTTCCCTACATGGGTCTTCTCACCCATCGTTTGACGGGTTACCTACGGAGAAAACTCCAGTGTCAATTTGGATACCTCACGGGAAAGAAAATTAAGCAAATCATCTGCTCCTACAAAGGAAAACCACCACCAGAAAAAATAGGGGTTTACCAGATCAAATGTTCATGCAGATCAAAATATATAGGAGAGACGCGTCGACCACTCGAGAAAAGAGTGAAAGAACATCTCAATGATATCAAAAAGAAAAACATTAAGTCAGCAGTGGCGTTACATATACTGGAAAATCCAAACCATATCATCAATACCGACTCAGCAAGTCTTATTATCCCGGAACGACGAAATTTTCATCGAAAATTTTTGGAAAGCCTTTACATAAAGAAAACGA